CCCCCCTTGGGAATCCTCGTCTCGCGGTTCTTCCCAACCCCACGAACCCCCCGTTCCCCGGGAATCTCCCCCCTCAGCGAGCCCTCCCCCAAAACCCCCGCTTCTTCTGCCGCATCTTCTGGAACAAACAAGATAAATCGAGAGTTATTAGTATGGTTTGCAATGGGTGACAAAACTGGCTTTTAGAATTCTCTATTAAACCCCTCATTATAATTAGAAGTTTTCTTGTTATCAGCAATTAAATTAGTTGGACCCATGTATGCTGAAAGGAACTATGTGCTTAGGATTTGCCTGCAACATAGTTGCTTCTAGCCTAAATGTGTCCAGTTTTCTCTCGCCAAGATTTTAGTCGATGCATTATGCCATAATGAATCAAACGTTATTTTTCCAAATTTTAATTTGAATTGCAGTTTCATACTCTCTTTGGACTTGCAACATCATTGGATCACATTTTGCAATGAGAAACCACTATCTCTAGCTCTCATAAAAGCACATATCTGAACAGGGAAACCAACGGCATGTGTGTTATTTCTAAAATTGGCAAGAAATAATGGTTCCTTATTACAAAGTGTAATCCAATTACAAGTTTGCATTCAGTTGTAGTAATTGAACTGCATTACGCAAAAAGGAATTAATATTCTTGGCTCTTCAAAATTCACCTACTTATGTTGGAAAAGTGAAACTCGTGTTTTTTCTACGGTGAACCGAAAAAGATAATTTATTTTTGCGTATTGCAGTTTAATTTGTCCCAGTTAAATGCAATATTATTTGACTGAATTAAATGAGAACCATGGGCAGAACTGGAAGGAATAGCAAATACTTCTTATATCCCTTTAAACAGCTGAGGGCATTCAAGTTAAGGTGATTCGACAGACGCCATTTTTTGTGTCAGAGCGACGTGCGATAAATAGCATCGATTCATTTCATAATTTCAGCTACTCGTTATTTCTTACGAATTTTAAAATCGCACTTCTCTTTTCATGAGACTGAAGAATTCATGTACCAAATTTCGCAAAGAAATTCAACTTCACAAAGGCGCGGTATTTTTAGAGGAAAAATATCGCATTCGAGTGCGGTTTCGATGTCAGTATCGAATGCCATATTTTTCCTCTAAAAAAACCACGCCTTTATTACGTTGAATTTGTTTGTCAAATTTGGAATATGAATTCTTCAGACTCATGGCAACAGAAGAACGATCTCAAAATTCGAAAAAAATGACAGGTAGCTGAAATTTCAGAATGAATCGATTCGATATATCGCACGTCGTTCTGGCACAAAAAATTGCGTCCGTAGAATCATCTTAAGGATACGACACGTTTAAAATATAATTATTTTTATGGATTTTATGAATGAAATTAATTAAAAATTGATTGGATAAAATTTCAATCATACTAGTAATTACTACTGGAAATAATACACATTTAGGAGGGCACTACTTCCGTCCTCAATGACTCAACATGCGGAGCATCCATCCTCTTCGTTTCTTTCCGACCTGAAACAGACTGAGAAGAAAAAAAAGGAATGATTAGTTCCTAACCTAAACCTAAATCTAACTTGAAAAAAAAAACTTTTATAACAAATTAGTTTTGATTTTTGCTTAATATATTTGTCAAAACTCATACCTCCTCTTTTCTAATGCTAAATTCATTCCGTGCAAATATTTGGAACTTGAGGTGATTCGATGGACGCCATATTTTGTGTCACATCGATTAGTTCCATTTTTTCAGCCACTCGTCATTTTTCTCGAATTTTGAGATCGCAATTCTGTTGTCAGGAGACTGAAGAAATCCCTCACCAATTTTGACAAACAAATTCAACGTAATAAAGGCGTGGTTTTTTTAGAGAGAAAATATCGCACTCGAGTGCAGTTTCGATATCAGTATCGAGTGCGACATTTTTCCTCTAAAAAAACCACGGCTTTATTAAGTAAAATTTGTTTGTCAAAATTGTTAAGTGAATTCCTCAGTCTCCTCACAACATTATTGCGATCTCAAACTTCGAGAAAAATAATGGGTAGCTGAAAAAATGGAACCAGTCGATGCGATATCGCATGTTGCTCTGACTTATAATATGGCGTCCATCGAATCACCTTAGTGCAATTGTTTTTACGCTATTTGTTCCCCTGAGCTATTTATTTTGTGAGCAAATAATTAGTCATTTCAAGTGGCTTTTTGAACGCAGCATAATTGGACTGCATTTTGCAATTTGGAACTATAAAGTCTGGCCCGGTTTAAAAAGAACGTATGTGCCATTAATGTGCACTATGCACATAAGTGTTTTTTCAGATAAGCCAGAATTTATAGTTCCAAATTGCAAAATGCAGTCCAATTATAATTGTTCTGATTTTAAATACTTAAAATATCAAACATCATTAATGAGCGATCAAAATGTGACTTTATGATACGTCTAAATTGGACCATGCTGTACAGTAGAGGAATTGATAATTTGTCTTATTTCAGAAATATTAGCAGTTTGCAGATAAGTGCTTTTGTGAGGGAAAAAGAATTAGTAGTTTCAATCGGATGTATTTCTGTTAAACAGAACTATGTGCATTATGACGTGAGCCCTGTTACGCATGTATTTTTATGGGTCTCAAGGCTCATGTCTTAAGGCACATAGTTCCGTTTGACAGAAATACGTCCAATTACAATATGTACTTCAACTGCAAATGGTGTAAAGTGGCAGATACACTTGCAAGTTAGAAGCGCTTGTTAAAAGTGAAACATCAATAGGAAACCGGGATTTCAATCGCTCGACGTCTAGCTATCAAAATCTTCCTTTCCTATTGGTGTTTCACTTTCAACAAGCGCTTCTAATTCGCAGGTGTATCTGGGTCTTCAGAGGAGACGCTAATGAAAGATGGAAGAAAGAATAAATAAAGAAAGAGAAATTAATAAGAGGTCGTTACGAAATAAAATGAAGAGAGCAAAATAAAATTAGGTATGAACTGCTTTCACTGCACCCGTTTCTTGCCAATCTGAAAGAAGAAGAAAAAATGGAAAATTAGTTTGAGGTATTCAGAATATATAAAAGAAAAAAAAGAAAAATGAAAGAAGATGAAACAACTTTCACTGTGTTCGTTTTTTATCGATGTAAAAAGAAATAGATAAAGAAAAAACATGATAAAGATTTGAAAAAAACACGGAGAGAAAAATTAATATGATGTTTGAGAAAAACTACCAATTCTGTAAAGCAATTTTATCCGCGATCAGTATGCTGAAAGTAGCTTGTGCTCTGACCCTGACTCTTGTCAATTTAGAAGAGATAAATACACGAGAAAGGAGAAAGAAAAATTAGCATGAAGCCTTTGAAGAGGAAAAATAAAAATTTAGTCCCATAAAATAAGTTGATTTCATTCAAAAAGCAAAATGCCGGAAACTTCATTACTGTTTTGCCGATCTGGAAAAATAGAAAAATGAAGGAAGCAGAGCTGCTAAAGATCTAATGTAAATTAAAATTATAGCCTGTGCGCAATTTGTTTTTTACTAAAACTTTAACGAGAGTTCGAATATCGATAGCGGAAGGTTGAAAATACTTATCTTTGACTGTGACGTCGCAAATCTCTGCTCTTGTTTTATTATTTTCAACCAGAACTAATCAGCAGTTTTTCACTCATTCTATAATATTTACGGATAATTTGAGGGAGATTCCTCGGTTACTTTTCTTTTCTGAAAGTGGAACACCATCGGAGATTTTCAAACGTGGAGGCGTAGTTGCGCATTTTTCATTCAATCAATGTATTTTGATGCGATTCTGGATGCAAAGTAATGACCTGAAACAAACAAAAATAAAAAAAAGAATTATTAAAAGTCTAAAAGCATGACAATAATTGGGAAATTAATGAATAATTGAATTGATTATTAATCAATTTTAACCTAGCAAATATGACCTTCTTCTAAAAATTCTGGGATTTTGATTTCGTTTATTTTTTTGACTAGGCGGTAAAAATTACTCAAGATTCAAGAATGCAAAAAAATGACTTAAAAGAAAAATAGCAATAATATAAGTCAAAAAGCATGAGAGCGATTGGACAATTCGACTACATTTTGCAATTTGGACCTATAAATTCTGGCTCATCTGAAAAAACACTTATCTGCATAGTGCATACTAATGGCACATACGTTGTTTTTAAACCGGGCTAGAATTTAAAGTTCCATATTGCAAAATGCAGTCCAATTAATAAATACTTTGATTGATTACTTTTAAACTTTAACCAAACGAATGTTCACTTCTATTAAACAATCTGCGATTTTGAGGGTTGATTCTCGTTTATTTTTTCAGAATAAGCGCTGAAAATTACTCAAGAATTCAAAAAAGTTTTCACAATCTAAGGGTATTTTTGGTTGTGTAGATCTGTGCAAATTGCAGGAAAACAATGAAGGTGATTCGATGAACGCTATATTTTGTGTCAGAACGGCATGCGATTTATCGCATCAATTGGTTCCATTTTTTCAGCTACTCGTCATTTTTCTATATTTTGAGATTGAAATTCTGTCGTCAGGAGACTAAAGCACTCACTTACCAATTTTAACAAAGAAATTCAACGTAATAAAGGCGTGGTTTTTTCAGAGAGAAAACATCGCATTCGATACTGATATCGAAACTGCTTTTGAATGCGATATTTTCTCTCTTAAAAAAAACCACGCCTTTATTACGTTGAATTTCTTTGTTAAAATTGGTAAGTGAGTACTTTAGTCTCCTGACAACAGAATTGCGATCTCAAAATTGGAGAAAAATGACAAGTACCTAAAAAAATGGAACTAATTGATGCGATATATTGCATGCCGTTCTGACACAAAATATGGCGTCCATCGAATCACCTTAATATACTGTTGATCCATAGAATTCGAATGAATTGGAATAAAATATTATTACTTTCCTTTTTTATTTATTCACCTGCTTTTTTCCTTTATCTTTTTTCTGAGAATACGAGTACCTAAAACGATGATTAATAAAAATTTAAACCTGGTACGGCCGTAGTAATGATAAAATACTATAGAATATACCTAAAATTTATAATTTATAAGCGAAAAAATTTCAATTTGAAAAATGACTGCTTTATTTAACTTTGAAAAATAAAAATTAAAAATTTGAAAATTCAAAATTTGAAATTTTTAAATTAAAAATTTAAATTTGAAATGTTTACATTGGAAAAATAAAAATTTGAAAAATGAAAAATTTAAAATTAAAACTATCAAAATTTTAAGTGTATAAAAAAAGAAGGTATGAGTAAGCTATAAGGTTCACTTACATATTAGGAGCTTAATCCAAATTGAGTTACTACAAATGTTGGAATTCCGGTTGCTGACTGCAGTGTACCACTAAATCACTACCACTGAAACACTGAAGCACTGAATTACTGAAGCACTGAAGCACTGAAGCACAGAACCACTAAACAACTAAGCCACTGAACCACTGACCCTCTGACCTGTTCACCCATGGAACTTCTTCGCTTTCTAAACTCACACTGATTGAACTTTAGGGAAGGGGTCTCCCTTTTGTAAGCTCGGTTGGTCTGTAGCCACCTCCAAAATTCCCACCCCCCTCTGCTGACCCCTCCTGCAATTAGGATGTAATTTAGAAACTATTTCCTCGTTGTCCTGTGGCGGGGAACCCGAATTTTACGGAACAAAAGGACAAAAATGCATCCCTTTTGTTCCATTGAGGTAAAGGGACCTCTTTATTGTAAACAGGATTTGAAAATCCCTGTTCTGTTCTTCGAGAAACTTCGAGACTACAAAACAATGAAAAAGGATTAAATTGTGTAAACAATAAGAAACGAAAAGAACGCTGTGAGGATGTATTTTTTGGGGGAAGGGAGGGGTAAAAGTCCGTAAAAGTTCAAAACAAAAGAAAAATATTTAACCCAAAACCCTTTGGGGAGGGGCGAAAAAGAGAGGAAATTTCTAAATGAACAGTTCCAGAATGTTCCAGAAACAAGAGCGTCTATAATATGATGATAATGGGGAAAAATCAATCAACGCAGAACTTTATTTTGCGTTCAAAACAACGTAGTTTTTTCTCCGTTCTCAAAATTGTCACGGAATCACCATGCGTGCACTGAAATAAGAAGCAACTTGCAACAGTTTTTGCTCTAAACTGGGAGGTGTGACTTGCAAAAAAGGTTAGGTAATTCCAATTGGACTTCATTTTGCAATTCGGAACTACAATATTTGTCTCATTCGTAAAAACTTTTGTGCATAGGGAAACTAATGGCACATTCGTTGTTCCTAAACTAAGCCAGAAATCGTAGTTCTCAATCGAAAAATGCAGTCCAATCGACCTTTGATGTATATTCGATGTAAGCTAATTTTTTGCTTGGATATTCCGTAAGTCGCAAAAAAGTTAGGTAAATCCAATTATTGGACTTCATTTTGAAATTTGGAACAACAATTTCTGCATCATCCGCAAAAACACTTTTGTGCATAGAGAATCTAATGGCACATACGTTGTTCCTGTACAGAGCCAGAAATTTAGTTCCTAATTGCAGAATGCAGTCCAATTCATCGCCCCGCATTGTGTCTCCGATGCAAGCTAATTTTTTGCTTGGATATTCCAAAACAAAAAAGGAAGATCAGGAAAGGAGGAAAAGGGAAGGAGGAGAGAAGGAGGATAGTCGCAAAAAAGTCAGGTAAATCCAATTGGACTCCATTTTGCAATTTGGAACAACAATTTCTGCATCATCCGTAAAAACGCTTTTGTGCATAGGGAAACTAATGGCACATACGTTGTTCCTGAACAGAGCCAGAAATTGTAGTTCCTAATTGCAGAATGCAGTCCAATTGACCTTCTCGAATTTTGTCTCCGCATACAAGCTTTTTTTTCGCGGATGCTCTGAAAAAGTCCCAGAATATCATTTTGTTGTTGTTGAATTGTTAAAATTAATTTATTTTCGTTTTAGTACAGAGGTATACAAAGCTTAAAGACAAATAGTTTTTGTCTATACTAGCGTATTAAAATATCGTGGTTTATCCATTTCCGAGTAAGAGTTGCGCTAAAAATAATTATTCCAACAACCGTTCCTAATCAAATAACGCGCGTAACAAGAGTATTGAGTAGTTCTGAATGATGGGTAAATGAAAGGCATCCATTAGTCTTTAAGTGCAAAAGTGATGATTGGATAATATGAGACATCGGCTATAATCCGATATACTTATAACTTGCAGAGGCATTCTTCTCTATGAAGAAAACCCCTCGAGACTTTTATAAATAGTTTCACTTGCGCCTTTGAGAGTGTGTTCCCATACTGTCACTTTAATTTTAGATCACTTTACCTGAAATCGAAAATTTCCGTTGTTATCTCAGGGAGAAGAATCGGTGACTTGAGAGACAAAATCGTTATTTAGATCTTATGTATTGCAATTAAAAATATTACCGCATCTTCTTTCATTCGTGTTTTTTTTAAAATACTAATATTGCACTCAGTGTTCGAAACTCACAGGCGCCAACGCGCAAAATGCGCCTAAAAAATCGGTCATGGCACCTAAAAAATGAAGGTACTGCGCCAACGTGGCCCCTAAAAATTGCTCCCGAAAAATCTTGATTTTCATGAGAAGTCACGTAAAGAAAGAAAACAAATCTATTTGAATTAAAAAAAAAAAAAACTCTATTTCTATTCTTCACAATTTCATTCTTAGCCCTTTTGTCTTACCCAAGTTACAGCTACTTACTAGTTCTGTTACGAAAATCATCTTGCGTCTAACTAAATAAATATGCGTAAAATATAGGCAAAAAGTCAATTTGACCCCTAAAAAATCTTCAATGGCGCCTAAAAATCGGGCTTGATGCGCGACATGGCTCCTGAAACTCAAAAGTGAGTTTCGAACACTGATTGCACTTCAATCGCAAACAAGTAATTGTTTGATCAGAAGGGTCAAATTTGAATCACACAATCAAACGCAGAAAACAAGAAGCGGCAGCTGAATATTCACTTTAAAGCTGTATCCGCCCTCACTTTTGTTCTCTTCTCACGATTGTGCGCCTTCAATTTGAGCGCAATACCAGCCGCGCGCACTGGCGTTAAAATAGTGGTATCATACAAAATCCTCATCTCTCGCGGAAAACGGAGTATACCGAACCTCACAGTGGCGTGGCGTGAATTGCGATTTATCGATTGTTATGCCATCTAAACCTATGGTAAAGAATCGATTATTATTGTTTTCGCTGCGAACACCGATCCTGGTTTATCGATCCTTTTACGTAGGTTTAAATGGCATAACAATCGATATATCGCAATTCATGCCACGCCACTGATTCCGTTGCGATGAAAAGGAAGATTGTAATGTTACGTTTTCCCTACTTTTGAATATTGTCGTTCTCAATACATACGTATAAATATCCATTTCAAGTTACGCTAATAATCTTCATCGATATCCATCATTTTATAGAGCTTCACAGAGACTATAAGTTTCGTTCAAAAATAGATTTATGTAATTGCATTATCATTTTTTCGAAAGAGAGGTCTATTCCTGACGACATTATTTGCACTATCTGCACTGCGAACTAACTTTTGTCTATCTAATCCCAGATTTCTAATCGATCCAAAGGTAATTAATACTTCCTAATAACCCGGCAGGTATGCTTCCAATATCCCTCGCTAAATAAACGTCATTCTGGCATGAGGTACCATAATTTCTGACCTATCCGTAAAAGCACTTATTTGCATAAAGAAACTACTGGCACATACGTTGTTTCTTAAATGAGCCGATAATTCTAGTTCCTTATTGCAAAATGTAGCCCAAATATCAGTTCTCTTTCCGTCACAGCTTCGAACAGTCACTTATCTCAGTCATTTTCTACTTATTCTACATTATTCGTTTGCCTGGATGGTCTCTGACACTTAGAACTTGCAATTAACTATGGGTTAGAACAACAAATCACTGGGCAAAAAAACTTTATTATTACAAATTATCTCTTGAGTAAGTCAGTTAAAACTAAAAAGTTGAGTAAAGTCGATGAACCAGTCGCTATAGGTCACGCGGCGAGGAGCCCAGGACGGCTGTAACGGTGCGTAATGGGTACGGCGCGTCGAAACCCGCGTATAAAAATGGTCATAACTTCTATACCAATCGTTTCCCCGCCAAGTAGGACATATCGATAGATGCGGAATCAGACGAGAAATCGATTGGACATATTTTTTTTAAAATAAAAAAATAGCTTTTTTGGGTATTTACGAACACGTAAAATTCGACGGATCAAAAATCCAAAAAAAAGAGGTGAATCATAAGTTTAATGTTACGTTCTATCCAAAAACCATACATAAAACAAAAGCTCATAATTTTTAAAGAATTTTAGCGCAAACCGCAGATCAATAACTCAATTGGTTCAAAAGTTATCGGACTTTTAAGGTATCAACTTGGCAACGCCGCCAAAGCGCGGGAAAATTTGTTTTGGACTTGAAATTATCAGAAACGGGGCCCATTGTTATGGTAAAATAGCATACTAAAAAATGGAAGCAATCGGAGCTACGGGGGATTTGGCCGTTTTTGCATAAGGCTCTTTTTAGCGTCAAAATCGAAAGTTCGCCGAACGAGCCGAAAGCAAGATTGGCCGCTTGGAATTGACCCGCTGAGTTCGATTTTCGCGTCGGAAAAGCTCCGCAAGTCCCTCGCTTTGAGCTATCCGCTGAAAACGCTCCAGAAAAAGAATCAAAAGTTGGTCTGAAAAGCTCGTTTTTGACCAGTTTTTGACAGTTTCTTGGTTCAGGAAGTCTCGCCAAGAGTCGGGACCGTGCGGAATCGATTCTACGCCTCCAAATACGCGACTGAAATCTCGAAATTTTTTCTCAGTCCAAAAAAGAGAAATATCAACATATGGGTTACATCGACGAAATTTTTCGGGTCAAAGGCGAAAGTTCGCGGATCGGGCCGAAACCAGGCAATCTCGCTTGGAAATGACCCGCTGAGTGCGATTTTCCAGTCGGAAAAGCTCCACGAGTACCTCACTTAGAGTTATCCGCATAAAATGCCCTAGAGAACGAGTCAAAAAGTGGTCAGAAAAGCTCGTTTTTGAGCAGATCTTGACTGTTTCTCGGCTTCGGAAGTCTCGCCGAGAGTTGGAACTGTGCGGAATCGAGTCTACGCCTCCAACTACGTAGGATCCGACTGTAATCTCGAAATTTTTTTCTCAGTCCAAAATCGAGAAAAATTGACATGGGTTCCACGGACTAATATTTTCGGGTCAAAATCGAAAGTTCGCCCATCGGGCCAAAACCAAGTAAGCTCGCTTGGAATTGACCCGCTAAGTGCGATTGTCCAGTCTGAAAAGCCCCGCGAGTCCCTCGCTTCGGGCTGTCCGCTGAAAACGCTCTAGACAAAGAGTCAAAAATTGGTCAGAAAAGCTAGTTTTTGACTGTTTTTCGGCTAGAGAAGGCTCGCGGGGAACCAAGACTATGCGGAATCGATTCTACGCCTCTAACTTCATAGGATGCGACTGAAATCTTGCAATGTTTTTCTCAGTCCCAAATTGGGAAAAATCGACAGGGGTTACATGGACTAAATTTTTAGCGTCAAAATCGATAGTTAGCCGATTTAGTTGGAACCAAGTAAG